GTGCTGTTTCGATGTCATGTACTAAACAGGTCGTCAAATCTGTGGCCGAGCGGAGAGGGAGGGCACCAAAGTGTTGTGAGGCTGTTATCTTTGCTCTGATAGCTGTCCAAGAGAGGCGGCGGGCGATCACTCGTTCAAGGCCTTTCCCCAGGGTCGAAAGGAGAGCAATGGGTCGGTATGAGCGTGGGCTAGATCTATCTGTCTTGTTGGGCTTGTTTAACATAACCAGCACAGCGGTCTTGAAGCAAGCAGGGTGGTGTCCAGCCTGGAGGCAGCCTCTAAAAAGATCGCAGACCCGAGTTTCGATTAGTGGCCAGCCAATTTTTAGGATTGCCGTTGGAATTTCGTCCTCCCCGGGTGCCGTATTGCCTGATCTAATGACCGAGTCCTTGATTTCGGTCAGGGTTAGGTCTGGGAAAGGAAGGCTAGTGACGCCGACTGATGGTGTATCTAATGGAACATCTATTGCATCAGAGGCATTTCGCAATAGGTTCCGAATTAATCATTGGTTCCGTGTAGTTTATAGTTACAGAAAGTGTGGAATACTAAGCGAGGCACGTGATAAAATTACAGATATATCACATGACTTTTAACAAGCATTATCATCTCTGCTTCAGAGGTATCCATATACTCGCTTGGTGGAGGGAATGAGTTTGACTTTTTTTTCGCATAGACGCATTGTAATTTCAGGCGCAGGCTCACTAGGCGCAAGATTCGAGGCGTAGCGTACGAGATACTGAGGAGGTACAGCTCGTAGGAATGCGGAGGTCTTTCCACAGAAGTGGTAAAAGTGAACTGGAGCTTCCTCCCAACTCATACATGTCTACGTTACATGAGATAAATCCTGAACTCAATCCATGTGGTAACTAACCCATTACTTGACCCACCAACACATATACTATATGCTAAGACTGGTATTTGGCAGGGATGATTTTATTTGATTTGAACTCATTTCGTATTAGGCTTACGCCCTACACCCAATAGGCGTGATACGGGTCTATGCTCCCTCGGAAAACACTACAACCTAAGTGCATAGTTTGCTTCTTAAATTTTTACGCGAAACATAAATAATGAAATTAATTACAAGAAAATTAAGCGCCCTGCGCCTTTCCTCCTTCCTTACAACTCTTTGTCCTGAAAAACTTGTATTTCGGCAGGACTTAATCCTCCCGGTGTGGCATTTGCCTCTCGTAACACTTTGTTACTGTTAAGAATTGGAGAAATCTTTCCTAACCCTTTTCTGCCAGCAACTCCCGTCCTCTCGGTGGTGGTTCATGCTTCAAGTTTCTGCATTTCTGTAGAGCAATTCGGCATTCGGCAAAATGCCAAGGGCGTTTCTCTCGTCCGCACACGCATTTGCAGTTTTCAAATTCGTGGCCAAATCTTTCATGGTATTTTCTGGAATCGCCATGTCCTGTCCTTGCTGCGATAAGGCGGTGATGCGCCCACCTCGGAAGTACTAGCTCCGGTGGGCATTTTTGTTTCATTAGTAGATCTAGCTGTTGAAATATGAAATACCTTGAAATGCTAAGAATAACTTATTTGTAAGTCCGGCTAATTTGACTATCAAATCCCCTATTCTGTATCACTATTATCAACACATCCTTCACCAAAAGATTAATGCGCGTTAGCGCTTATATCACACTCGTATTCCAGCGGATGACTATGTCTCATGTCGAACCTTTTGAGCTGGTTCGGAAGCTGGAATGATTGAGACTAGAGGTATCTTGAAGAATAGCTCGCACAGGAGCTTTTAATTGAAGTGAAATAAAAAGATGTAATTGTCTGTCTATCTTTCTTCCTCTTTCTCTCAGCTTATATATCTAAACATATCTACTACCTCACATATGATGATAATATCTGGAAATAGCTTACTTACATCACAGGATACAATCTAAACATGTTGTAGCCAAGATGTAATCCTAAACCGACTCAATACCAGTCCACCACGTCTGTTACACGGACGCCAAGTATTTTTTAGCTGAAAATTACCCAAAACGCCAAGGTTTTCCTGAGGCAATCACAAATTATGTCAGGTACCAGCTTGGCATATTATTCTGACAATAATGTTACGATCATGTTAGAAGAATGGATTTTACATGAATCACGAAACATTAATTCAGAAATACGAATTCCACCGGGTTCTGATACTGGTCTGACATCACAAATGCAGGTTATAGTTTTCTCGTGTTTATTACCAACACACATGTATTTAGCTTTATATTCCTGGCCCGGATATGTGTATGTACATAGATCTACATCTACAGGGATCATAACTTACGATCCATGGAGATTGATGAATACTGGTCAAAAATCACAGTTGATAAGATATGCGAACACGCAATCTCACTCTTATCATCTCGGTTTTACTCAGAACCATATATCTAAATACAATTATTTCCACTCGAATCTTCCTCTCACAATCTTATACAAGACTTACTGTATCGGTCTAACCGCCGACACAGATTCCGCTATAACCTCCATCTTCGCTCAAGCTCATAACTTTAACACCAACTCCTCATAGCGGGTAGGTCTATGTTCCAACCACCAGGATTCTACCGCTTCTTCATGCCTTTGCCTGACAAACCGGGTGAGGCTGCAAATATGGTTTTAACTTCGCACCTCGTTTCTGAAGTAGCTGTATCTGTTTCTGCCGGGAGGTTCCTGAAGTCCTCTTTGGTCAGTCTGTCTGCCTCTTCGTTCCCCGTGATCCCTGAGTGGACTGGTATCTACCGGATTTCCACTGATCTGCCTTATAAAGCTCTTACAGCTGTTGAGTTATCGAGAAGCACCTTTATCGGATAGTCGCTTGCTTTTACTATGGTTCCTTCGAGGGCTTTTTGGGCGCCAAATACTTCGGCATCATAGACATCTGCCCCTGGCAAGAGACCAGCGTTACTCGCAATCATTTGGCCTCTTTTGTATAAGCTATACCCCAACGCAGATCTCGCTGGTCCATATGATGAGCCGTCTGAATAAGCGTAGACTGCCTCGGCCGACAGGCTTGCTATCTATTGCTTAGCGTGAGCTGCTTCGTCCTAGAGGTCACTGCCAGTAATTTTTCTGAAAGACTCAGCTCTTGAGAGGTTTAATTTGCCGGGTCCCTCGGCCATTAGCACATTCTTGACACTGATCTGAAGTCGCATGAGGTAACGTTCTTGGACCTTGAATGACCGGTTCTTCTGACCTACGCAGAGACCAAGGTGGCTCACTGTATCTTTTGGCCCCTCTCTAGACCTGAATACTAAGGGTTGTGTTCGGATTAGGTCCTGGTCAACGATGTCTAGCCTAATTGTGCTATTTTGCAGGCTACTGTTCCAATTATTCATGGGGTCATCATCAGGGTTGTGAGTGGTTTCGGTTTTGGTGTGGGTTGTTAGATTAATACCTGAGCGTGTCGCATAGTAGTCAGATATGCGACTCAAGTAGCATATGCACGGTAAACCTCAACCCCAAAATGATGATACGAATCAGGTTTTACATGCTACGTCCTGTATGGCTAGCGTGATTGGAATATGGGGAATTTACCTGTAGATACATAAAGACGTTGTAGCCCTCTGATAGTTGGGAAAAGTCTTCTACAATATTAGATCGGAATCAATACTAGCCTCTCATTAAGTAATCTCATGAATTATTTCCAATGTCTGTGATAATAGACATACATATACAATGTCGAAAACAAGTTTAAAGTCGATAAGGTTGCTATGCATCTAGCCTCTAAATCCGTGCAGCAGCTATGATTTGTTTCAGCTGCAAGATAATAGCAGATGGTGGAATGGCCGACTCTCTGTGTAGCGCCACATTTGGTGTAGTTCGCCACACCGGTAGCCCCGCTCTAACTGCCTTCAGGATTGTGCTGTCAAGGAGATCGGTGAGGATCCTGAATTCCAAGTCCGAGCGTAACGCCAAGTCTCACGGCAAGCGAGCCGCCGAGTTTGAGGTTCCATCAAGAATGCACCCCTCGCATTCTTTGGTCACAATTCGGGCGGTTAAGCACCTCACTCCTCTCCTACTGTATTCTGATAGTTTACTTGTCATGTATCAATGATCGTTACATTATCTGGAGTATAGAGGAATTCATGTATTTAAGGAGGAGTTAGAACGTTAATAGAAATACAAGTTTCAACTAGTCTCAAGCTCTACACACATATAGATTGTCGTAGTCGGAGCCACGAGACATCCGTGAATTTCACAGTCAACATTTATCATTTTATTCTTACTAACGTGCACGAGAAACCTCACTCGTAGATAGAGAAAATAGAGCAAATATTTTACACTGGTCCTCCATCAAATGTAAAAGAATAACTAGAAGCGTCCTCGCTGCAGAATTGTACGCAATGGTACATGGATTTGACTCAGGAGCAACCATAAAATCAACTCTCGAGAAAATCCTTGGCATGCACATTCCTCTAACTATTTGTACTGACTCGAAATCTTTATACGAATCCTTGGTAAAACTCGGCACCACTCGCGAAAAGAGACTTATGATAGATCTCATGTGCCTTCGTCAATCGTATGAGAGACGCGAAATTACCCATGTATGCTGGGTCAATGGAGACTGCAATCCAGCAGATGCAATGACAAAATCCAAGTGTTCTAATGCTCTGAGAGATCTTATTGACACCAACACTATCAAAATTGATCACCCTGAATGGGTGGAGAGGAACGAAGATATGGTAGACCGTGTATAATGTACAAGTATGGCATTAACTTTTTGTTTTGTTTGTTGCCAGTGTTTAATGACTTAACGATCCAATGATCAATATGTATTTCCTTTGAACTAATGACTAATTGTGTTGATGAGTAATGAGGTACCCGTTTGGGAATGGCGTTAGGAGACAGGGGGTTTTACTGTTTATAGATGTTTCCTTCTAGGAAGACAGGGGGGTAGATCATTTTTAGACGTACAATAATTATTACTGCTACATCAAGCTTGTGATATAAATTACCACCTAAGTATTCGGACACATAGAAATACCAGTGGTTTGTTTCTTTGGAAATTATTTTTTAAACATTTTCTCCATTTCGTCACGAATGGTTTTAGTGATATCAGATGGACCCGATTCAGTCATGGTCACATCTGAATCAACCTTGTGTTGGAGTTTACGCTTTTTCCTAGCGTTTTCTGCCATGCAGTCCCCTCGAGCTATAATTGTAGCCCTTTGGCATATGGAGGGTCCATTCGTGAACGTATCCTCTCTGTCTTTGATAAGATATTCGGGACACGGTTCGACTCCTTGGAAATTAAGCGTATCGAAGGTCGTTTTAACAGTCGCTTCGATTTTTTGTCGAAATGCACGAATTGTCAGCATCGTTGCGTACGTTTCGAGTCCCATTTTCTTCATTTCGATAAAGCGGGCTAGAACTGACCCTCGACATTCGCTAACCGTGTTTTCGAGCCCTACTAAACTGGCTTGGTGGTCTCCACTGTTGGTGAAAGTCGTCGAAAATTGAAATTTTGGGGTCTTGAATGATTCCAAAATTTGGGGAGGAAATGTCCCCGCTATCGCATGGTGTTCGAGGGACTCAAGAGAAGCTAGAATGTTCAAGGGTTTGCATTCACTTGAGTAAATCTCTTTTAGCAGACTTTTCATTCCGAGGGCAAAGGACGAAGGACAGCATAACTTAACGATATCGTCAACTAACGTGGCAGTTGTGAGACCGTCATTGGTACCGACTGAAGGTGTAACAATGATTTGTGTGACTCTGGAGGAAGGCATCGTTAAGTTAAAGAACTCTTTTAAGTCGTATAGACAAAAGATAAAGGTTAGGGTTAAAAAGATTTTGGCAAATTTTTGTCAAAAAAAGTGAAGGCACGAGAGATCGATAACAGTAACTGGATAGAAAACTGGTATTTCGCCGGTGACCTGAGAGTCATGATTATTGAGCGCTAGTTCAGTCGATGGAAGGAAGCGGACTCAATCATTCTGTGCGAAGTTAACATAAGCTTTTAGGTGTTGCTCGATTCGACCATTCATTCGTTCTGTTTGGCCGTCAGTTTGCGGATCGAATGCAGTCGACAGGCGGTGTTCAATCTGCAACAGTTTGCAGAGCTATTCCCAAAGCTCATCCGTAAATTGGCTGCCTCTGTCAGACATAATTGAATCGGGTAGGCCATGCAGTCGGAAGTAGTCGTGGTAATACATGTGCGCAGTGTTCCTAGTGGTCAGGTCGTTGCAGGGGGTGACATGTACCTGCTTAGTCATCCGGTCAACCGCCACAAATATTGACTTAAACTCCACGCCACCCCAGTCTTTACTGATAGGTAAGTCTACCACAAAATCCATGGCTATATATCTCCAATGTTCTCTACCAATAGGAAGTGGACGTAATAATCCTTGTGCTCCTTCGCGAGAAGGCTTAGATCTCGAACAGGTATGACAATTCCTAACAAATTTCTTACCTTGTTGCAATATACCATGCCAGAAAAAGTCTCGAGCTAACCCAGCATAGGTCGCTGCTGCGCCTTGATGACCTGCCGCTGGTGGCTCGTGGTAGGACTTCATTATCTCAATTGTTAATATATTATCATCATTGCTCTGTGGGACTACAATCCTCCCCCTATATCGAAGGATACCATCATTCCATGAAAAATCAGCAATAATGAAATTGCGGACTCGTTGCGCGTTCCTATTTTCGAGAGCATTAATAGCTGCCGATAAGCTCTCATCTTGCCGTGTTGATTCACTGATACTTTCCACAAGTCTCAATGTAGGCCCATTTTCCTCAGAATCAGTTTCCGAGTTACTAAAAACTTCTACACATTCTTCGACTTCACCCATTAAGATATCCTGCGCATTGTTTTCCATTCCTGGCGACAAATTATGCTGCTTCAGCAAACGCTGTTAGAGGTATTTTTGTAGGGATAGATCAGGAGGAATAGCACACATATCTTCGTCCACAATTCCTAATGATTCAGAATAGGTCCTTGGTCCGTGACACCCAATTGCAACAGTCACACTTGGTTTTCCCTTCGCTTTTCCCTTTTTCGACTTTCTCCCATGCCTTGACTCTGGGTGCTGCTTAAAACAGTTCTTGTTTTTATGTTGATGAGTACACAGCACACAGTAGACATTCGGGCCCCCAACAGCTTTCTTCTTCCCTCCATCGTTCCTCTCGCCCTCACCAGTCATCACCATCACCTAACCCGACGACTTCCCTTTAGATTGTCCAAACTGACGAAGCGTTGACATCATCGACTCGAGCGGCACGTACTTGTTCTCTCCGTCTAGGATCTTGGTCTGTCTCCAAGTGTCCAGCCAATCAACACTCTCAGATCCCATAACGAAAAGAAAACCTGCTAGCCCATGAGGTACAGTGTATGGATTGTCCGAGTCAGAAATCGATTGCTGGTGATGCATTGACTCAGCGGCACTGTTAACGCTCAAGTAGTGCTGCATAAACTTGTCGCAGTACTCTTCGATTGTCGTGAACCTTGTGTTAATTAAATTTCTGACGGCAGTCTCATATGGTGTGGCCGCGCATTCATTTCGAGTCGTCGCTATTGTGTCAAATATTTGCTTCGCTGACATTCGCCGAAAATTCTGAGGACGAACACTTGAACTTAGCTGTCGGAGCAGGACATTTTTTCGCCTCAATTTCTCCCTCTTTTCACATCGCAAGTTCCTCCGCGTACTTCGCCGAGGTCTTGCAAAACACGTCTTTGGTTTGATTTTCTCCCCTGATTGGTTCACTAGGTCATAGTGCTGGTTGAATTTCCTCAAAATCGTGAGGAATATGGGCTGAGCGACCTTTCTTACTTTGGGCCGCTTGGAGATCCGATTCCAGGTCGGCAAAGCTTACTCCAGGGGTCAAAATCGTTACCGAGTTTTTTTCAGTGTTTGGAGGTGGTATGTAGTAGGCCTTTGGAGAATTTGGGATGGCTGGCTTGAGGCACATAGCAAGGTACTCTAGAGAAGAGCTCCAGGCTCATAACCTGTTGTGATAACAATGCCTAAGAGCGTCTCTCAACCTTCCTAGCCTTCTTTCTATTCCTCCCTGATTCATCCCATCATCTCCTCATCTCATCCAGGGGTTGCTTTCTTCATTATATACCTTGTACAGCCGCCCACCGAGGCATCCTCTGGTTTTCCTCCTTTTCACCTTTCTTTGAAGCTTTCCTTAAACCTTCTATCAATATGGACATGATAGAGTCTTGGTAGAATTTCCATCCCTCCGAGCTTGCACCATCGCTATCGTACCTTAACTTTGGAGGCCAGATATGAGTCGAAGAGCTAAAGACCGAGGCACCGATGCCTCAGCCCTTCTCGAATGCTCTAGTTGATGTTCTGGCGAAAAATTTTGCATACTTTGCCAGTGGCGATTCGTCGTGGGTCGAGTTGTTGTTGCTCTTGTCCGATATTGGACGAATTTAAGGTCCGTACTTCTACTGTACCTTCACAGCGCACAATAGGTGCGACGAGATGGATATCCATTAGTAGCTTTGATTGCGAGAATGACTTTTGGAGGTATAGGATTGCTTAGGTAGGTGATGAGATGATTGTGGAGAGGGCCGCGAGATGAGTTTGGCTGAGAATGATTTTCCAGAGAAAAAATAAAAGACCTTGAAGGTGTCGGTTGTTGTAATATGAACATCAGACAGGTTATAGCCTGTCTGTGGTTTGTATCTGAGGTGTAGATGGTTGATTCCGTTGAGTTGTGCAGTCGTGAAATCTCTGCAAGTCGGATTTTCGGCTAAAAATGAGCCAACACCACTGCTCCCGATCACCATATCGACGAACTCTCGATTACACCCTTTTTCGGGACTCAATCTAGGCTCTGGGAGAATATTTCACCCCCAGGTTCATAGAGGGCACCACTGATAGGTGTTCGGCTCTTGTCCTTCAAAAACCTATATGGATTCTTGATCATGTGAATATTTTCTTTCTGACAGACAATAATTTATACCAGTATTCAAGCACATACTGGAAATCGTAGCCACTGAGTACTGCCAATAGGTATCGCAATGTATCTACTCATTTCTAATATCATTATCGTCGTCTTGAACGTGTTATATGTTGTCGTTAGCGTGTCATTGAGAGAGGGTGAACTTTCTCACATTAGAGTCGAATGAAGTTAGTTTGTCTCCGCTCCGTGGACTGCAGAGAGACCATGAGGTTAGTGAGGGTCACTATTGGCTTCGCTTAGTTTTTTAAAATTATACTTCGCTTAGTTTTACTAAAAGATTAATTATCTTCGGTTCTTCCGACAGACATCTTCCTGAAGCAGAGAAGGATCTAACACGTTGGGCTATCAGAATGACCACCTATCAGGAGATCGATACTTTCTGCGTGCAACAGAGTCAAGCAGACCACAAGGGTAACCGAGAACAGGCACGCCAAGAACCGAAAGCAAGACATTGAAGAGTGGACCAGAATTTGTGTAATGGAGAATGTGAAAGGGAGACAAAAAGAAGCCGGTTAAGTGGCCACGTTTCAGGAGTGGAAAAACTCATGGACACGTACAGGGAACGACAAACTCTCTGGTCATCGAGCTTCGGCAGTCCCTAAACATTGGAGAGCCGCAAATATTGTTACAGATGAGACAACAGGCAGAAAAAGGATCACCTACAGAAACACACCCTCTAACATCCACCGAAACCTGAGCAGGGCCCAAAGTAGTATTGCAATACAGATGAGAAGTGAGCATATCGGCCTCAATTCTTATCTACATAGAAGAAAGGTCCCTGGAGTGGCAAATCCAAAGTGCCAGTGTGAATGTCCCTCACAAAATGTGAAACATATGGTCATGGCTTGTCCTCAATGGGCTAATGGAAGAGGAGAGGTGCTGCAACGGACAAAAGAGTGGTCTTTCGAAGCTATGATGAACAGCCCGGATGACATGAAGAGAATTACAGGGTGGATACTTAGCAAAGGCTGGTTTGCCTAGTTCCGGCGTGCAGAAAATTTTGATATACTAGTCAATGAAAATATGACGCGATCGGGAAAAGGATAGGACGGAGTTAACACTGGATAATCAGCGTAAAAGCTCTTCATACAGGAAACCTCGAAAAAAAAATAGACACGAGACAGTTAGTTTTGGAGGTTTTTGCCAAATTAGTTTCTTCCTGTGTAAATATTACAGCTAGATATACCTGCATGAGCCCATGAGGTACCTGGGCGGCAAAATGAAATTAAATCAAATGGTTGAGTGGTCAGATGTGCTAGTAATTTTTTACCGTTATAGTTGGTGTTTACATTCCTGTTTTCTCGGATGTGGGCGCATCAATTATCGGTTTACATGGGGAGACTATTCTCAACACCTGTCAGTGGTGTCCCCTACGAACCCCCAGCTTTCATTGAGGAGTGTGCAGAGCCGAGATTAAATAACACCGTCCTCACTTCCATAATGATTCCCAATCGCTTTCGCGGTCTGTATCGTCTTCATCTCTCAACACATTCTCCTATTACTACTATCATGAAGCTAACCACGATCAGATCAGATGGTAGGGACGAAGCCCTTCTCATCACCAACCCTTGATCATGGAGTAAATGCCATCCGATGCGTTTCCGGAGCGTACCCAGCACCCGATACGGCAATGGTGGATTGGACCAAGACGGCCTCGATTATTACAAAGAATGGAGACATAGATGAA